GAGGTAAATGCCCAGGGCGGTCGTTATGGCAATGCACTGCAAGCAGCTGCAGGTCACGGGAACGAATCGGTTGTGCGGCTTCTCCTGGAGAGTGGAGCAGAGGTGAATGCTCCGGGTGGTGAGTATGGAAATGCGTTACAAGCAGCTTCAGCGGTGCCAAAAAAAACAGTTGTGCGTCTTCTCCTCGAACGTGGGGCAGAGGTGAATGCTCAGGGTGGCCATTACGGTAACGCACTGCAAGCAACCGCATGCCACGGGAATGAATCGGTTACGCGGCTCCTCCTCGAGCGTGGGGCAGAGGCGAATGCCCAAGACGGCGGGCATGGGAATACACTACAGGCAGCTAAAGCATTTGGTCATTAGTTGATTGTACAGCTTCTCCTCACACATGGGGCAGATGCCGATGGGGGATTTTGGCGTGTGGCAAAAGCGGCACAGGGAGTTAGGAGACTTTAAGTTGTTCCACCACCCAGATATTCCATTCCTGAAGCGGCCGCCAATTCTTGCCTTTTCTGCCTTTCCTATTCCAGATCGACTCTCTCTCTCTTGCCCGTATTTCGCATTGATGAGGGTGGATGGAGAGCCCGAAGAAATGAAGCAACGCGAGTCCTGTGGTGGTGGACCCAAGACGCGCAAGAAAGCATGAAGGGATTGTTGGAAGTCGCGAGGTGTTGCTCGGCATGCTCTCATGATGGCTTGTTTGTTCGCATAGTCTCTGGGAGCACACGTTGATTTCGGGCGCACATTAGCTTCCGAGCCTGCCCGCGCAATTTGGCTTTTCGGGAGAGCACTTTGGCCACCGGAATGCATGAGAGTCTTGGAGAAATGAATCCATCGGAAGGAAAGTGGGAAGGCTGTAAGGAAAGGCGCAAGGGGTGGAGGAAAGTCGGAGAGTTTAATGCCAGAGTATTGGATGTTTTGAGGCTACAGACAAGAGGAAGTTTGCCTTTTCCTTTGTTACCTTTTTTGTTTGCTAGTGAGTTGGAGATGTACCTGGGAGGTTAGGACTCAGTTTTTTGGTTTGTGGTTGATATATACTCGTGTCTTTACCATTAGTTATTTAGTTGATGCATGATAGTGTGAGATTGGTAAAGTTAAGAGATTTCACGGCCCCCTTGTCAGTGGTGTGATCGTTTCATGTGTGACAGCTTGGCGTTCCATTTCATTTCGTGGTGCTCGTTCCATGCCATTGGTTGCACCATGTCACTGAGTGTTCAGATGTTCCTACTATTATACGCCCTAGTGATACTCCAACAGCCCCTGGCCAGCCAATGATATCTCTCCGGTGGTCACAGTTCCCTTTATCGCACATCCCCTTTACCCCTCCAGAGCAAGAATCAACACCCCCGTAGGTCCATCGTAGTTGGCACACCACTTCTTGGATAACGGATCGTTAGGCACAGTGGGCGGCGGCCTGACAGGTCCAGCGCTGTGTTGTATTCCCAGCTCCAGCCAACCGTAACTGTCCTATCAAATGAATTTGGTGTGGGATGGCTGCAACATAGTCTGAGGCAACTATGTTCCGTCCGCCTTTTCTTCCGTTCCGCCCCCTCAGGCAAGTTCAGGGGACCCAGAAGTTCCCTAAGTACTCCAGATACTCAGCCGGACGGAACCGCTGCTACCTATCATGGTAGACTATGGGCGAGTCTTTTTAGTGTTCTCTAAAAATCTAATGGGAAATTAACTTTAGTATAACTTCGTGCTCTGTAGTGAGCCTGGTTGTGGAGATCAATATAAAGACTCGCAAAAATGTATGAAAAATGTATGAGAAAGTAAGCCTCTGCACGCCTTCCACCATTCACTTGAATTCTGTCTTGCCATATCCAAACCCCTGGCCGGACTAGCGCCGGGTAGACCTCGTGACATAATATTTGCTATTTGAACTTATTTACATTGCCATTTGACTCTCCAGTCTACTTTCCCAGGCTTTCCTCACCTTCTTATCCGGGACGGACATAGCGTGCTACTCCGGTTAACCGGGGAGATTATCTATCGAGTATGGCCAAACCTCCGCAGGGTCGGCTGACTTTCGACCCGTCCTGACTTGTTTGGGAACTCAGCCGGAGCGCACTTACCGGGCGTGCAAGTAAGCTAATAACCAAACTGTTCAGACTATATCGTCACAGAAAACCCGCGTTGCCATTCAACGCGTGGATTGTCCCGCGCCACTGGAGAGCATAAAATTGAGCTCATTTCCGCAGTTCTCCATCGTTCCCCGTTTCCTCCGCCATCTCCTGCGCGCAAATACATGTGCCCTCCATTCGACCTGTCCTTCGGCCTCCCCAATGATGGCCGCCGCGGGGTTTTGAAGCCGGAATAAACTACGTTCTACCATCTGGTCCTTTCTAGGTCCTTTGGCAGTTCATATCGGTGCCCCCTGTTGAGAAAAATAGCACTATCCTCTTGGGTGTGTAATATGGGGAATACTCGCTCCCCCCAAATTTTCATGCAGGCTTTATAACACTTCGGACTCCCTTTGGCATGATTCCTTTTGTTTAGAGGTTATTGGAATACCGCGCTTTCGTGACTTGGATTCGGGATCGGGGCTTTAGGTATATTTCGGCGTAGATGTCTTGAATGAAACAAAATCGACCACAACCAGATAATTACCTGTTTCTTGGTCAACTACCAGTGAATCCACACGATTACCCAGCGAGTTACCGAATCACTAAGCCCCCATAGCTAGTATTCTCTACTGGAAATATCTAGGAACATGTTTCATGCTCAAGGTACTTTAAATAGGCTATCCGAATTGTTTCAACCAAAAAAAATATCTGAGGCTTGATTTCCGGTATCTCGTAGTGGCACAGCGCGTGTAGAATTCGGGGGTTTGGGACGGCCCATTAATCCTGGACTTGGGTTTTTACTAGGGAGAAGGGTTTAAAGGAGTCGTACTCTGGAATACCCCCCCCCCCCGCCAGAAGTTGGAAAATCATCATGATATATCACTCGATCTGTTATATCGTGGCAAAGCTGTTCCTAGTTGAGCCGGTATCACGCCATGCCAGTGATATATTGCCCAACTTTGTGAAAAGAGCCTACACAGCCAAGTGTAGCACCCCCTATCTTCAATCCGGTCTCTGAAATGATTCTATAGAGAGAGATTCTTATCTTGATTTCACTTATTTTTACCTCCAATGGGAGATTGTGTGTGTCTTATCTCTGCCCGACATCATCATCCCTATCTGTGTCTATTACCCTCGCAGAAATTCCTAGCATGTACAGTACTTCTCAGTTCCTACGCTGCCCGTTTAAGGAGAAATATCATATCATACATGAATCCCGGGTCTCGGCCATGGAGAGCGCGGGGCATATACAATCATAATGGACGTGAGTGCGGACACCGGTACTAACTGCTAACAAGGATAATGTGTGTTTCGGAGTTCAATATTGAATGTTCAATCTTGCCTTTTCAAACGTTCACACAATTGAAATGGCGAACTGGTTGTTGGGTCCGCTCGTTTAGACTCCCGGTAGGCTTGGACCGGGCTGGGTCAAATGATTTAGAGGTGGGCCCATCGGGAGGCTTGCAGGATCGGACTGTGATGCTATGTATGCAGGGTTTGGATGGTGTTTTTGCTGCATAGTGTAGGAACCTAGATAGGCTGTTCGTGGGGGCGGGGTTTATCCACTTACGAATAAAAGATGGGCAGTCCTAGCCCATTTTCCCGCCGATCGCTTTGGAACTTCAAACCCTTACTAGGAGATACACTGCACCAGAACCTGTCCCTTAAATTTATTATATATTGTAGGGTGTGAGAAGGCCAGCACCCGAACTATGATAGAAGCCTAATGGAAAGGGCACAAGGGTAGTGGACGGTGACTAACAAACGATTCTTTAACAAACACGCCGATCTCGGTGGGGCCCAAGGGGGTAAAACACGAATGAAAATAACCACCAGATAACCCTAAGAGGCGAAACAGGGGAACAATGGTGAGCTTGATAGTAGCTGCAGGGCCACCTTATATACAAGTAGGCTGCCTGAGGGAAGAAATGCTTTTGTGAGTATGGAAAGGAACCTTTGAGGCTATCTACGGGGGTGTCGTAGAAACTGGACCAGCCTAACATCCTAATCAGTAATGAGGAAGTACTGTGTGCGGGCCGCGGGGAATGAGGGGGAGAAAGGGAAGAAGAGAATTGAGAGTTCGATCCAATCTCCCGAAAGGTCTCCCCTAAGACATGGGTAGTAAGTCTTAGTCGGTCTCGATGGTACGCTACAGCGCCTGGGGGCATATATAAGAGAGACTAGACGCCTTGTAGGTGTTAGGGAGAGGATGCTAGTGGCACTAGTTAGTACTCGTGAAGCCCGCCGCCGGGTAGGCTAAGCAAGGCCGGGGTAGCGATCAATGGTAAGTCGTAGCGTTCGTAACAGGGAAAAGTGGGAGAAGTGGAACGGGACCGGAGGGTAACTGTAGACGAGGTGGGAGGAAAAGCAGATGGCTAGGTTGACTGGTAACATGCTTTATTGCCTGGATAGATTAAGGCACGATAGTGCAAGGACCCACCCCAGACCACTGCCAAAACAGCCCTAGGCCGGATACATTTCCATTTGGCGGTGGAGGGAATTCGACCGTTAACAAATATCGAGATACTGTGAACCTGTTGAGAGAGAAGGTGGGAAAGCCGAGTATGAATAACGAGTAGCGAGCGGCGCAATGCGATAGGAGAGGTCCGGACGGAATGTGGGTGGTCGGATGCTAAGTGTGGTGGGAGAGACCGTGAGCCGGATATGAACGGTAGAGACGGGGGAGAAATAAGATAAGAAAGGGCGGGACTGAAACTGGTATCAACCTCTTCGGTAGCCTCAACTGTATTCTAGTGAATTTGAAAGTGGAAGCAGAGGAAATGTTGATAATAGTTTTCTGGCATGCAGAAACTTAGACTAATGTGTGCAATGATGAGACGTAGGTTAGGATATCACAGATATTGTTATCCATTTCCCCGAGGTTCCCGGTGCTGAAGTTTGTCGAGTTTTTTTTTCCCCTCATTTAGTGAGCCAACCTGAACTTCTAGAGTTTTCTCAGATGAACTGAACAACTCGAAGGATTAACAAACGATGCACCAGCGGCGACTGTGTGGAGCCGCTTTCCCGGGACGTCGTCGGTTTGTCATTTGGAAAATTTGGTGGTTGAGTAAGTGCGCTGTACTGTACATAGTGGTGGTATTATGATTTGTCTTTGGACCTTGAGATAAGGAAGGTGAGTTGGAGAATAGAGGGGGAATTCTCGGGAGGCGACGATCCGGTGTAAAAGAGAAGGCTCGGGGCGATAACTCTATGATATAACCAT